AAAAAAAAAAATCAACGTTATACTGTTTTGTGTTGTGTGTAATACCACAAATTGCCTCAAATTCTTTTTGAGAAAGAGGCAGGTTATTATGTATTACTCAATTATAAAATAAATGTTTCCCATCCCTCTGTGTGGTAGCCCTTTAACACCAGATACCACGTAGGACAATAACATCAACTTTCTAGGATGTTATCAACTCACTCCTTTGCTAACTCAACCTTGGGGTTGACGTCATCACCTTTTCTTACTTGAAGGGGCTTTGAGTCCAGTAGGACTTGGACTGAGCTCCTCCCAGAAGCTCAATTATCACTGGAAGCCTTTAAGTTCGCCACTGCTAGTCACCCCTTTTTCCTTTAGGTGAGAGTGGGAAAGATGGCTTCAGCCTGTATTGGTCTGTCCTCAACAAAAGTGATACGCACAACGTCTGAATATGGAAAACAAAACAACTGATTCTCACTTTGGAATTTGTTCTGTATAGTTGAGGACTCACTGTTTTATCTGGAGGGTTATGAAAATTCTCACGGTGGGAAAAGTAATTTTAGATAATAAAGACACATTAAACTCAAATCCATTCCTCTAATGGAAAGCTAGCTGTATTAACCATAGTGTATACACAATATCAACGTTAAAATCAAATAGTTTATTCCCATTAAGAACATAATTACCTTCAGTTCATTAAGTAAATTGTGTTGTTCAAAATGTTTCTTTTTTCTCTCAATATATTGATCAATGGACTCCATTTCCTTAAAACGAGCCTCATGAAGCTTCTTAAAGTCTAGAAAGTTCCACAAAATATGAAAGTTAATAACAAGACAAAATCCATTTATTCATCTGCCCTTTGTTTTCCTGTTAACACTTATTTTCTCTGTATCCTTGACATTCAATTGCAAAATCATCTTTGCCAAAACTTTAATTTCAAGACATTTAGTTTCTGCAAACTCAGGGACAACACATATTTATCTTAAAAAGTATCTTGCGACCACATGGATGGACCTAGAGGGTATTATGCTAAGTAAAATAAGTCACAGAGAAAGACAAATACCATATGATCTCACTTATACGTGGAATCTAAAAAACAAAAACGAACAATCGAAACAGAAACAATCTCACAGATACAGAGAACAAACTGATGGTTGCCAGATGGGAGAGGGATTGGGAGACAGGGTGAGAAAGGGGAAGAGAATAAGAAGTACAAATTGACAGTTACAAAATAGTCACTGGGATGTATAAGTACAGCATATGGAATATAGTCAATAATATTCTAATAACTGTATGATACCAGGTGGGATCACTTTGTAAGTTATATAAATGTCTAACCATTATGTTGTACACCTGAAACTAATATAATCTTCAATGTCAACTGTAATTGAAAAATAAAAAAGTAATGAGAGAAAATAAAACAAACAATCAAGCATTCACCATCTCTCCATTGTCCATTTCACTAACTGGCATCTTTGTTTGTGTAGAGGATAAGAAAAGAATAAGAGATTTGTCCTCTCCCCTCACCAATTAATTAAATGGCCTCACTGAATCATAAATTTGACGTTTTAAAATGCTTAAAAAGCTCTATGCCAAGCACGGGCACACTTTTTCTGTAAAGAGGCAGATAGAAAATATTTTAGGCTTACAGAGACCATGAATGGTATGGCCTCTATCTCATATTCTTTTTTTTAAACAACCCTTTAAAACAGTAAAAATCAGGCTGGCCGAGTAGCGCGATGGTTGAGAACTGGCTTGGGACGCCAGAGGGCCCCGGTTTGGATCCTGCATGTGAGGGCCAGTGACACTGCCCTCCATAGCTAGGATGCTGAGCAACAGCTCTACCTGGAGCTGGGTTGCCATGAGTCGCCAGCGACGGTGTAGGCTGCAGCCCCTGTGGCAGTGGGTTGCCATGGGCTGCCGTGTGTAGCCAGTAGCCTCAGTGAGCGGCTGTCCAGAAGCTGGCGACTGATCTGCCTCGCCATGGAAGAGTGCAATGATGGTGCCAACTTGGGCCAGTGAGGCGATGTCCTCCACAACTAGACTGAGGAGCAGAGCGACAGCAACTTGTCTGTTCCCCTTCCCCCAATTCCCCAGCACTGTTCCCTTCCCCCCAATACCCCAATAAAAATCTTAAAAAAAAAAAAAAAACAGTAAAAATCATTTGTAGCTTAAGGGTTCTAAGGCCAAGGTGGGCAGTAGTTTGCTGACCCCTGCTCTGTGCTATTCTAATTAAGTATATATGTATATTCTAATTAAGTATACAAATTTCTAATACGGTATATGCTGAGCAGCATTCTAAGTACTATAAATGTATAACAATCAACATTCTATGGCCGGTCAATAGGGAAGAGGAATTACATGTCCAGAAATGGAGTCCCTTAGACTTCTTATTTAAAAAAGGAAAGAAAAAAATTTATTACATGATGGATATTATACCAAGTACTTTGCAGACATTCACTCTCAGCTACTTATTGAATACGTGCTATATGCTAGAAGCTACTGTCCTAGGAAATCAGAAGTGGAAAAACAGTCTCAATTAATCTATATATCAACCTGATGAAATAGTAATTAAAGAAAATAAAATAAACTAACATTCATCATCTCTCCATTGTCTATTTCACTGCTAACTAACATCTTTGTTTAATTCAGAGGATAAGAAAAGAATAACATTTAAGAATAACTATTCTCTTGGGCTGGCCAAGTGGCACGTTGGTTAGGAGTTGGCTTGGGACGCCAGCTCTGAGCAACAGGGCCCCGGTTCGGTTCCCACATGAGGGCCAGTGACGCTGTGCCCTCTACAGCTAAGATGGTGAACAACAGCTCGACCTGGAGCTGGGCTGCCTTGAGTTGCTGGCATTGGTGTAGGCTGCAGTGGGGCTGGCCATCAGCTTTTGTGAGCTGCTGTGAGTGGCCATCCAATGGCTGGCGAGCGACTGCCTCACCCGGGAAGAGCGCAATGATAATACCAACAGGGGTCAGTGAAGCGACGCCCTCCACAATTAGACTGAAGAACAAAAGGACAGCAACTTGTCTGTTCCCCTTCCCTGATTCCCCAATGCTGTACCCCTCCCCTAACTCCCCAATAAAATCTTAAAAAAACAAAAACAAAAACAAAACTATTCTCACTTTCAACTGAGGAAGTGGATTTACTGAGGATAAGTTGCCCAAGTCTCAGAGCTAGAAAATGACAGAACAGGGATGTCAGCCCCAGTTTCAGCACCCCAGCTTTTAAAACTGTGACAATACACTCCTTATCCAACAGCAGCCCGAGGAGGGCCAACCATATGATATGTTTCTTTTTTTCTTTTTATTTTAAAGATTTTACTGGGGAATCGGGGAAGGGGAACAGACAAGTTGCTGTCTTTTTGTTCTTCAGTCTAGCTGTGGAGGATATCACTTCACTGGCTCATGTTGGTACCATCATTGCGCTCCTCCCGGGTGAGGCAGATCGGTCACCGGCNCAGTCACCGGCTTCTGGATGGCCACTCACGGCGGCTGCTGGCTACACATGGTAGCCCATGGCAACCCACTGCAGCAGTGGCTGCAGCCTACGCCATCACCGGTGACTTACGGCAGCCCAGCTTCAGGTTGAGCTGTTGTTCAGCATCTTAGCTGTAGAGGGTAGTGTCACTGGCCCTCATATATGGGATCCGAACCGGGGCCCTCTGGCGTCCCAAGCCAGCTCTTAACCAGCGCTCCACTCGGCCAGCCCTAACTTTTCATTCTGACATACAAGTAGAAGAGATTCTAATGTTGAGACAAATTTAAAACTAAAATATTCAGTAAATACATATCTTTACCATAAGCTGAGAACCCAAGTTAGATGTATTAAGCATACTGTTCTATTTAATCTTGCCTTTTATGCCTTCTCTCTTTTCCCTAAAATTCCCCTTTCCACACTGTCTCCTCACAGTTCACACTTGGTGCCAGGACCATCAACTCTACATCTGTTTGAGCACCTTATAATGTATAAGTGATTCTACTTGCACTGAGTACCAATCATTTTTACTTTTTTTCATGTACATCATTATGCTGCTGACTCTAGTAGCACTATTTCATTTTGTTAGCAATGTAATTAATTCCTCCCTTTCTTTTAGCAATAAAAATCTCGTTCTAACAAAGCAAAGAGCTCAATCATATCATACACAAAAATAAAAATGTGGGTTAAAGATTAGGGAAAAATAATAAAAGCAATAAAAATAAATATAAGAGCATATTTTTTATAGTCTTGGGACAGGGAGCACATGACCAAAAATTCAGAGCCTTGAAAGGAAAAGTTGTACAGATTTAACTAAAAAATAAAACAAAGGTACCTTCCACAAGGTGAAAGACACCATTAATATAGTTAAAAGGAAAACTGGGGGAAAATATTTGTGGGGCCGGACGAGTGGCTCAGTTGGTTAAGAGCCTGCCTAAGAGTGTGAGCTCTGAGCAACAGGGTCGCCAGTTCGATTCCCACATGGGCCAGTGACACTGTACCCTGAGTTGAGCTGCCTCAGCTGCCAAGTGGCAGGATGGCTCAGCTGGTGAGAGCACGTGCTCCTAACAACAAGGCTGACGGTTTCAATGGTCGGCTATGCCCACCCGCAACTAAAGACTGAGCTCGACAGCTTGAGCTGAGCTGCCCGCCATGTGGCTCAGGGGATAGAGCTCGTACTCTTATCAACGAGGTTGCTGGTTCTGGTTCGACTCCTGCATGGGATGGTGGCTACGCCCACCCGCAACTAATTGAACACAGCATCTTGAGATGAGCAGTGCCCCTTCCCCAACACTGTTCTCCTCCCCCAATTCCCCAACACTGTTCCCCTACCCGAATTCCCCCCAAAAATCTTTAACAACAAAAAAAATTAACATATTTATCATTAATATAGATTAATGGCTAATATGCAAAAATTAAGAAAAAGCAAATTTATAGAAAAACAGCCAATTATAACATATAAAGATATATAACATATAAACAGCATGTAACAGAATGATCAAAGAAATGCCAATTCAGTTGGGATTTTTTTCATATTATCAAAGATTAAAATTTTTGATCATTCCCATTGTTAACAAAATAAACAGGCATCTCTGGGGCACAAGGTTTCTGATCTTTGTAGAGGGCCATTTGGCAACCAAATTAAACAGGTCTTCCTCCTCTGATCATGAAAATCAAGGAGAGACTGGTCATGGGCAGGATGATTCTCTCTAGGATCTTGGCTCATTTATCACTATCTATCACTATCCAAATGACCAACCCCAAAACATGTCAACTGTCAAGAAAAACTTCATCTCAACTATGACAAAGTCACTGTAACTGTTTTTATTCTCCAGTCTCCAGGTAGGTCATACCAAATAACCCATCTGAAAGGCCAATTCCTCAAATAATGAGAGTGGGGTAGGATTTTAGAACTAAACTCATTCAGATGGAGCTATCACTAAAAAATAAGATAAACTACTCATTTATTCACATCTTCAAGGCTACACTCAAGTTTATGGTTGAGGCAGCTATTCTGCCCTTAACTTTTACCTGGAAAATGAACTCATCCATATTATGTAGTATAGAAAGCTTAACTTTCAATCAAGGACTTAAGTAGACCCAGCTTCATGACAAGAAAGATGAGTGGCCCTGCTTCCAGGCATATCTGCAGCTAGCTCAAGCCTATGCAGAAAAGCCAAATGCCTGCTTTCTATAAAGTGTCAGCATGGGCCTCTCGTGCCAGTATTCGACTGTGAGTGTAGTAATACCTAGCATTTGCTAATATTTAAGAAAGTCTTATAATGATCTCCTCTCTGGATTCTCCACCCTTGTTGTTAGGTAAGTATGAAAGAATGGAGATGTGTAATGCTGTGACCTGGCTTTGTTGCTGTTTGCTAGAAGGTTGATAAACAGGGTCTTCAACTGTGATAACAGTGGTTTTATAAATACTGTTCAAATGAATGTTTAATATCCAAGATTAAGTTTCTCATTAAGAAGCTTGTTTTTGTTTTTTGATTATTTAGAACTTACCATCCAGTGCATTTCCCTATTGGCATTAGTATTAGAAAACTCAAAACTCAAGCGACTGAATGATATAATAGACAATGTACATGCTAACAGTGCCCATTTTGTGCCCTTTTAAAATCAACTTTAGGGCCGGCCGAGTGGCACAATGGTTAAGAACTGGCTTGGGACGCCAGAGGGCCCCGGTTCAGGTCCCACATATGAGGGCCAGTGACACTGCCCTCCACAGCTAAGATGCTGAAC